GCAAATATTGCTTATGTGGGAAATGCCCCGCTGGATGACGCTAGTCTCAGAATCATCGATCGTGCCAAAACATTATTACTAGGATTGCAGCGCCGCAAATCAGAGTGACGGTTGCGCCCTGGCAGTCCTGAGTCGTTCCGAAATTCCATTCCTGGGACTGCACCGCCGCGAGTGAACGTCATTGCTGCTTCCTGACAATCCCGAACCCTGTCAGAACGCCGTTCAGGGACGTCAGCCGAGTGGGTCCAGTAACCAGTAACCGGTTGCAAGATGTTCACACGAATGTGCGCGGCGCTGATCGCTACGGTGGGGAACGCGCTTGCTGTTTTGAGCTTCCCTTCATCTTTGATATGATTGCAAGTTTCTTTTGTTATTTAAATAACGCTCACGACGCTTAGGCGATAACAACATTGGAAGGAAACCAATTATCCATCCTTGAATCGGTTGCGAATGATTAAGACGATTGCGCGCGGTCGTAAGGCGATACCCGCATTTGGGGAAACAACGACCCAAATTTGTCGTAGACTTTACAACGCATGTGCACGGCGCCGGTAGCTCCATTCGGGAAACGATCCGCCCTCCATCCGTGAAAGTTTGTGTATACGTTTAAGACGAATATGCACGGCGATACGGGGAGACCAAAATTTTCAAAACAACTTGGTTATCATTCTTGCAGTTGTTGCATTGTTTTTGCACGACGGATGTGCGTTGCGCGAAGGCGAGGGCCACATTTTGAAAGCGATCCCCCTTCAATGGAGTTCTTGCGTATCCCAAGCTCGAGGATCATCAATGGCGAGGAAGTCTCAGGCGAGATGCCCGGCTCGCCCCATCGAGTGCGACAGGGATAAGTTATTTGGCTGTCCGCGGCAAGTCCCGCCACAGTGCCAGCACACTATTCTTGGTGGTCGTTGCGCGAAGGGGGCGCGAGGCCCTAACGAGTAAAACCTGGAGCGGCGATAGATGCACGCAAGGCGGCGACTGTTGGAACACACCCAGAAATCCGTTACATGTGTGACACATCGTTGGATTTAGGGTTGTCTAGGCCTGTCCGAGGGCTCTCTGCGGCAACCGCTGGGGCAACGCCGACGGGTGTCACATGTGCGTTGGCGTGGTTCACCCATGGAGTGGGAGAAGACCACATGTGAACTGTTACAATTGAGCCGATGCTCACGATGGCGACGATGACATTTGTCATGGTGATGATTGGTGGTGATGGAGCTGATCATCGTCATTTAGGTGATGATGTCGATGACGATGATGGTGATGATGAACACAAGGTGAACGACGAGGACGGTGGTGGGGATACTGATGTCGA